CAAGATCCCATCAAAGTCAATGTTTGCCATTCTTGATTATAGTGTTTTCATTATACGTAATTATTATGAGTGGCACAATCTTCTTTGACTTCTTGAATAATATTTCAAGCTCACCAACGAAACTAACTTAGCATCTTATCTTTTTTTGGACTTCAAAAATTCAAAATAATCTACTGAAACCTTGGTAATTAAGAATACAATGTGATTCATTGATAATAATTTTTAGTTGTATTTTTTTGGATGCCACTAAAAGCACTTTTCAAAGTCCAAGTGCTATTTTTTCAAAAAATTTTTCCTAATTACTAATATCTTGAGATAAATTTCCACAAGAAATACCCATATGAATTAATTCACAAAAGGAAAAGCTGTTCAAAATAGATTATTTGATCACTGCATAATATAGTCTAGTAATGCAGAAATTGACTTGCACATAAATGGAAGTTCTGTAAAAAATATCTCATTTGTTTTCAAAGTTTTAAAATATATCAAGTAATGTAACAAATTGGTAAATATGTAACAATATTTTGAAGCATCAGTTATCACTGTAAAAGATAATTTTGAATTAAGTAATATCAAAATTAATGCTGTGATTAAATGTTATTTCAGAGTTTCAAAAGCTTGTTGTTTTATTTTTTGCCAATTATATTCTTGATTTTTGTATAAAGATTTTGTCAATAATAATGCTATTACTGAAATATTTTGTACAAATTTGCAATAATAACTTGCTAAGCCTAGACATAATCTCAACTCAGATATATTTATTAATTTTGGCCAATCTTTTATTATAGTAATTTTGTATTAATTAATTGAAATTCCATCTGCTGAAATAAAATGACCAAGATATTTAACATATTATTTGATAAATTCATATTTCTTTAATTTAATATACAATTTGTTCTTTTGTAATACTTTTAATACTATCTTCAAATATTGCAGATATTCTTCTTTGGTTTTGTTATAGATTAAAATATCATTCTAAAAAATAATAATGAATTTATTCAAGTATTTTTAAAAGATATTATTCATGAGTATTATGAAAGTTGCTGGAGTATTGGTTAATCCAAAGGGTAGAACCAAGAATTCAAAGTGTTCATATCTTGTTCTAAATACAATTTTGTGAATTTGGTGATATCCAAAATATAAATCAAGTTTGGTAAAGTATTTTAATTCAATTAATCTATTTATGAGTTCATTTATACAAGATAATAAATATCTATTCTTAATAGTGATTTTGTTGAATGCTCTATAATCAACACATAGTCTTAAAGTTTCTTTTTTCTTATGAACAAATAAAATTGATGCTCCAAATAGTAATACACTTGGATAAATAAAATTTTTATTTAACAAGTCAGTTAATTGAGTCTTTAATTCATTATTTCTACAAATAATAATCTATATGTTGAATAAGATAGTGATTCACTTTCAGATATTAAATCAATTTTATAATTAATTGCTCTTGTAAATGAAATTTTTGCTAGTAGTTTTTTTAGAAAGATATTTAAGAATTATTGAATTATTTTATGTACTTTTGGTGTTAATATTTTTTCTTTATCTTTAATTATATAGCAAATAGTTCAGTATTATTTGAACAATTGGATAATTATTAACAAGTGATATAGATAAAATTATAATTAGATGAATTTAAATTAATATCTACTGTAACTTTAATAGATTTTGTTGTCATAATTAAAAGTCAGAGTGTTATTTTCCAGTCAATAGTTGAATTAGCATGAAATAATTATAGTTTTCCAAGTATTAAGTTATAGTATTATAAATTAAGAACTTGAATATTAATTCTAGAAGTTTTATAAGCATTTAATTTCAAGTTTTGAATATTGACTATAGTTATAGTTATAATTTTCTTGCCATCAGCCAATTCTACTGTAATTGGTTATATCTTTTTAGCTTTAATATAATTCTTTTGAACAAATTTTTCATTAATAAAATTTCTTGATGCACCACTATTTAACAAGATTCAAGCATCTTTTTCATTGACTTGATTATTAAATTTTAATAATCTTTCTTTATTGTCAGTAATATAAGTGAATTCTACTCTTTTATTTTGTTATTTGATAGAAGATTCTGCAATTTCTTCAATATTATTCATTCTTGTCTTGCTCTTTGAATAGTAATTTTTAGTAAAATAATCTGGTTTTCCATATTCATAATAGCTATCTTTAATTTTATTATTGTTAAAATTATTGAAAGTAAAATTTTCTTGAATTATTCAGCATGATTCAATTTTATGGATGTACTTGTAGAGCTATTTGATACTGTATATTATGACTGAATTATAAAGTTTTTTTGTATAGTACTTTGTATAATGAGTTATTATTAGTGATTTGTCAGTACTAAATATAGCTATATTATATCTAATAGCTAATTTTCATACATCTTTCAAATTTTCTGGTGCTTGATAACTTATTTTTATTTTTGTTATTGATTTTAATCCATTAATAAAATAAACAACTTGGTCTAGATCACTTATATTTTCTATTTATTCAACAAGATTTCTGAACTTGATGCCATATTCTTGAACTATATCTATTAGATAAAGTTATTTAAGTTATTTTCTCAAATATTGATAATTAAAAAAGCATTATATAATTCTTGAGCAAAAATATCAAAGTCAGCAAAAATGGGATTGATATTATTAATATTTGCCTTCAACTTGTTAAGATACCAATGAAAAACTGTATCTTTAAAATCAGTTGATACATAATTTATTTTTGTTTCATTATTGATAACATTTTGGGCAACAAAAATATTTTCAATTCTCAGTAATCAATCCAAAACATTTTCATTTGGTTCACTTTTATAAATTGAAATTTGACTAGAATTTTTGAATTATTATTTTTACCATTATTATTTATAATAGATGCTTAATTACTATTACTGTCAGTAGTATTTTTGTTTTGTTATTCTTGTAACTGTTAAAGCTGTTGGTTTTGTATTTTCAATTAGTTTTGATGAAATTGAATAGCATTAGTAAGAATTTATTACTGTTTTAACAAAGAGACAAATCCATTCATGAATTATATAAATTATTATTAATTTATTATAGTATATTTGTAAAGTATGTGATATAGCTTAATAATCTTTATTCATTGCTATCAAGTTGTAAGAATACTTTCTTAATATAAATAATATTAAAATAAATTTATTAATTGTTATAAATAAATTATATTAATTGAGATAGTTTTCAGTTTTAATTTTAATAAAGCTTATTCTTTATTTATTAAATAATGAAAAGATTTAAAGAACTATAATACAAAACAGAAATATTTAAATACATAATTGATGTTTAATGAATTACAAATAAATTAATAATAAATAAAAGGTGATTTGTTCTAAATTATTAATTTTACAGATGACATATCTCCAAGTTATGCTGTACTTAATTAGATATGTATGAAATATAAATAATAATAAATAGTAATTAACATGAATTTAAAAATAATAAATATAAAAATGAAAAAATGAATAAAAATAAAAGAAATTAAAAATAAGATGTATATAAAGTAATAATGTAATTTATATTTCACATCTAATCTATTTAGCAAAATATTAAATGTAGATCTGTATTAATTTCTTATATATTATGCAAAAAATGATAAACATAACACAAAAAATAATGGATAATGATATAAGAAAATATAATAATATATGAAAATTATTATATAATATTTCATGTTAATGATTAAAATAATTCAATTATTTAGATAGAAAAATTTAAACAAGCTACAAAAGCTAATAATAAAAGAAAAATTCATATCATATCAATATACTTACGTGACATCGCCAATTATTAATACAAAAATCAAGTTCAAGCAAATAATGCATGATCTACACATTATAATAATGCTGGCAATCAAGATATTTCTTTCAAATTATCATTTTAATATTACAATCAAACTTCTCTATAGTCACCACTCTTGAAAAAGCAAAATTTGGTAATTATAGAGGAAATGTGACTATAGAGAGATTTTTTTACTATTTTTATATGTAAATGAAAAAGCAAAATAGGGTAACTATAAAGGGGTGTGACTATAAACAGATGTGACTATAGAGAGGTTTAACTGTACTTTAATAATATTGAAATTACTTACTTATGCCAAAATTCTTTGACAATGCCAAAATCATTTATTATGTCAAAATTTATTTACTGCACTATTTCAGCATTACTGTGTCATTTTGACAATAGTAATTATTACTTATAATAAGAGTTTTAGCATTTTGGCATTTGTTAAAAAGATTTCAGCAAGCATTCTTAGTCTCAGCACCAATTCTTATCTATCCAGATTTTGAAAAACCATTCATATTGTATACTGACACTTCTAGTTTTGGATTAGGCGCAGTCTTATCTCAAAAAGCTAATAATGGAAAAGAACATGTGGTAGCATATGCTAGTAAAAGAACTGATGGTCTAATATTAAAAGTTCATATTGGGGTCATATGTAAGATGTTGGCACTCGGATCACGAATCAACCGTTTATACTTATGGCTGCGGGAACCACCATTTAAAGAAGGATATCTGACGCTGGAGAAGTTGATACAAGCATTAGGAACTTTTGACGAGTAATTTTAAGAAATTTTTCATTAAGGCAGAAGAATTCGACGAAGTGTTAGAGATATATGGTAAACATACTTTATTTTTATCGAAAATAGCAATACTATTTGCAGATATCAAAACTACAAAAGATAAAATGGCAAGGCCCTGACTTCGGTTCCGTTTTATTTGACCAATATTAATTACATTTTATACAAATGTATCAACACGATGATACTAGCACACTTTTTCTCTTAATGTTTCTTTTATGATCAAATAAAGATGGTAGACAAAATAAATTTCTTCTCCTTCTTGAACTATTTATAGTATTATAATTACTATTTTGATTTTTTGCCTCCGCAGAAGCCTGTGCTCGTTTTTCTTTTATCGTTTTTCTATCAATAACGTAACTCCATCAATAGTGTCACTAGAAGTACTTCCAATTGGACTACTATCTTCTGTCACTCTTTTTTCGACGATCCGCAGGTTCTCCATAAACAGCTTCCCAAAAAACCTCATTTAAATCTCGACTTTTAATTGCAACCAAGTAAATTACAACATTCCAATATCCAATACATTGCTCTTGCATGAATCCATTTAATAGCGCATGTAAGAAATCGTATTCGTGTATACGAACATGTTCGAAAAACATTGTTCGGTCGTCTTCCAGTGCTAGTCCATAAAGACCGGCAATATTATTCGCTAGTCCGAGGAAACTTAATACGTGACTTGGGTCTTGGAATAAGTCATTAATGAAATGATTTGTGAAGGAGAGACTCTGAACCCATTTTAATGATGTTGTTACTTGTAGTGATTTCACGTATAATGCAATTAATCCAAGTAGAATTAGCAGAGGACGCGCTAAAAGTGAGTATAGGATTTTATATATGATTCGAAAAGCTCGCCCCATTTTGGTCCGTTAAGTGTAAATTTCACGAAATCTGTGGCGGTATCTATGAATGGTGGATCATTTGAATAAAGAGAACGTGGCAATTTTTGAAATACTATAACTAAATTCTGGAACTTAATTCCTTTGTTTAGGACTGAATGAGAAAGGATAAATGCAAATAAGTGTATAAATGCAAATATAAAATGGATAAGGATAATAGCAAATTCAATTAAATGTCCTAATATAGTGCAGAAACTAAATATTCTCGATGTGTTGAACTCCGCGTAATATTGATATTAGTGACTAAAACGTTGACTGGGTCAATGGCAATAAATTTTCTAGTAATAAAAGCAATATTTAATGCTTAATAATGCAACATGACCATATGAGTGTAGTCCTAATTTCTCTTCTACCAGAGTTTTCGCCATCGTTTGTAAGAAGACAGTACTCGGCAACGGAGGTTGAAATTCATTCCATCCGATCTTTTTTTGTCCGTGTTCTTTACAAATTCTACAAAACTTTTTCTGCAATCCCAATATTCATTTTGTGATCGTGAATGATCGAGATTTTTTGTGGTTTTCAGGTAGTTTGCGTAGGATTTCCAGAAATCTCTGAGTGGTCGTTGTATTAACGTGGTTTCTGATGCTACATTTTTATAGATTCTTTCTATTGTTCTTTGATTGGGAATTCAAAATGGGGAATTACAAAGCTTGCGCGTCGCCATTGATACCACGGAACTTTTTTTGTTTTGTTATTATTGCGGTCAGTCATTATATGTTTGCACAATATCAATATCAATATCAATATCGATATCGTTTATATAAATTTAGCAGAAATGTATCAAAATCGAATTTGAGAGGAAAAATCTCATTTTTTCTCCTTGTCTAGTCTATATTAAGACACATGACAGAAGAATTCATTTTTTCGTAAGGGATTAGAAGAGTTTTATGTTGTCATTTGCGAAATTAAATGTTTTTATGTTACTAAAAATCGATAATTAATTAAGGGTTAACATTAACATAAAGGGTCGATTATAATATCTGATCGCTATGTGCAAGTTTTATTCTATTTTTAGCTATTTGATTCGATTTGACTAATAATTATTTGTGGAAATTAGTGGTTTTATTTGTCTCGTTGTATTAACATAATGTTCGCTGGCAATTTGATTACTGCATAAATGGGTTTTTTGATTTGTAATTCCTGTTTTATTTCAAAGCGTTCGTTAAAGCCGTGTAGTGAATTAAGGCTTAAGTCAACTCGGATAATCTTATAATTATCCGAATTGACTTAATACACATGACCTCTTGTTTTGTGGTTGGCTCAGGCTGAGACCCGCACCAACGAAAAGAAGTGCCGAATACTCACTAACAACACCACCGTCATAAAGTCAAATTGGAAACTGATCACAACCTGGAGAAATTCGTAACACCAGCGAAACGAAAATGGCTGCCAAACTCACTCCTAACAACTTACATGACCTGTTTCCAGTTTGGTTTCGTACCGAGTTTTCTGGATGTGAGGATTTGGCGTTTCTTTCATTGTTGAGCGTCTAGTTTCGTTGAACGCCCATATCTCTGGAACACATGATCAGATCTTTGCGATCTATAGTCCTATAATTAAGGTGAATATTTTTGCGTTTAGATCAACAAAATCGGGATAATATTGGTGGAGATATTGGCATCCAAAGTCGGCGCATGAAAAATCACAAAATGACTGACGGATCGTGAGGTAACGATATCTCACCAATCTGTGTTCAGAATTTTGCGAACTCGGTTCGTTTGATTCGCCTAATCAAGACGAGCATTCTTTGTATTCGGACCACAAAATTGGTTGGATATTGGGAGAAATATAAGCGTCCAAAGTTGACTGATTTTTCTTGGCATTTTTCCGAGATCGCCGGTGTTGGTTAGGGTTAGTAAGTGTTCCTGGGTGTCCAGTTTCTCCGTGTTGGTTTCGCCGCTACCGGATCCAGTGGGTTCAACAACAATCAACTAAAATTTTTAATTGGTCAGTTTATTTTCTATCAACCAGTAACACTGTAAAATTGCTCGCCAACTTTATGATTAGTACTTTTAGTGTGGGTTTATTCAATGAATGTTAAAGCTCATTGTTACTGGTGAGCCAACACTAGTATTTTTATTTGCTATTCAATTTTGGTCACATGGTTGCAATCCGGATTAAAAATCACGTGTAACTACAAGGCTTTAATTTCAAGCGGAGATCGGATATATAACATATTTCATGTGCCATGCACTGTACCATAACACAAAGTTTTTTGTAATACATGTAGATGCACATTGAGTGGCCATTTGGTCCCTTCACAAATTTTCTTTATTTTCTGTACCGTAGAATGCTAAAGGGGAATATTATTACTAATTAAATGGACACATTTCTTCCATCTTGCTTCATTGCTATTCTAAAATCCTGCCACTAATTATTCGAATTGAGCAGCCGATTTCTTACTATTACCTTATCTGAAGAAAAGAATAGATATTCGAATTTGTTTTTAATGTCGTAGCTATTTTGTGCTCATCTGTTTGATCCGGAAAGTGTATTCTGAGATTATATGTACGCAAAATGATACTATTATAATTTTGAGTTTGGCGTATAACGATACAGTGTTGGCAAGTTCCTCAATTTTAAACTGGACTGGAATAGCTCCAGACCCCAGTTAAAAATGGGGATAATGCGCAGTAATATAAAAAGTACAAATATTATGTACTTTGACCATTAGTTACCGTATACTGCCGTAAGTATTAAGGGGAAACAAACTTTCTCCCTGAAAAAGAACCAAAACTACATGAAAAAACTCCTTTAAAAAATTAACCAAAATCAACCAAAATCAACTAATAATGTTCATAAAATTGAAAAAGAAACAATAAGAAACAAAATTGTGTGTCAAAAGATTAAAAACAAAATTCGGGAATCGTGTAAAGTGAGATGGTTCATTTGTGGGAAAAAACTTGACAACAAAAAGATAAATCTATCTTCCACCATCGAGTATAACAGACATTCTCTTATTACTGACTGGTATTTTCTTTGATGAAGTGGTGGTTGATGCGATACTCAATGGTCTAGGACGAAGACCATTTATTGATGGTCTCTTCCTTAGAGTTGCGTTTGTTTCCGATAAATCATGACCTAGATTAACAGTTGCACTTCGTGCAGGATTACGCGGTGGAGGTGTTACTTTAACTGGAGTAGTTTGAGTTCTATTTGGAGCTGAAGGACGTGGAATTCCACGTGTAATCCTTGTATTTGATTTATTAGCTTCACTATCAGCAACTTCGTTATCTTTAGAAGTTGATGATGAATCTTTCGATTTGCTGTTTGATAATTTACTTTTTGACTGTGGTGATGGTGAGACAGCTAATCTTCCATTTACAACATGTGGTTCAGGTGTTGAAGGAGTCGCAACAGAAGATACAGATGAAGAACTCGAATTGCTCGATAAACTATTACTTCTCTTTGTTGATGTTAATGGTGATTCGGTATTCAATGACGCCGTCGTTTCTGCAGAAGATTTTCGTGAATGAGCTGGTTTCTCGGATGTTTCTGCATTACTGTCAAGATATAAACTGCTGCGTCGCTTTATTCTGTTAGGTGATGCTGCGCGTGATAATGACGTTGAAGAGACAGACAGGTTACCATTAGATTTATCGAAATAAACACTTGATCTTCGACTCGGTGCTTTACTATTTGGTGATGGTGAAACCGCTCGACTAACAGGTCGACTTCTAGATGTAGCTTCCACACCCAACAGTACAGTAGACCGGCGATTAGCAAGTCGTGTAGGCGAAACTTGCCGACTAGCCGGTCGACTTGTTGGTCGACTTACATCAAGGGTATTTGGGCGTCGATTGGGTGAAACAGCTCGACTTGCTGGTCGACTCGTTGTACTTCCATTGTTATTGAAATACATACTTGTTCGTCGACTTGGTGCTTTTGATGATCGAGATGTTGGTGATCCTGGTCGTGAAGAAGCTACACTATCTCTTCTTGAAGATCTTGTCGGTGTTTCCGACTTTGTGGTCTTATTTGCATTTTGTTCAAAGCCAAAGAACATTTGATTTACGATACGCTCACCGATTTCACTTTGCTATAAAATTAATTTATGAATAATTTACTTATTAGAATTAGTTAAAGACTGATATTATCAAAAATAAATATACATACCAATGTGTCGAGAAAGCGTACACTTTCGTGCATAAAAGGTTTTCGCTCATCTTTAATAAATAAAATTTCGAGATCAACAAATTGAATTAACAAACATTGAATAGCCTCATACAGACAACTTACTTTCTTCATATTCGAGACAAGCTTTGATCAAACTATCTTCAATTTTAACCAAATTGGGCCAACATGTCTTTCGCCATTTTTCTTCTTCCAGTAATCGGAAAGAACTTTGGAATAATCGATTTGGATCTGAGGCTTTTTTCTCGAATTCTATCATTTTCTAATAAAATCAGAAGAATATAATGTCCGCATCGTAAGACGTTAATGCGCTCTGATCGCAAAATGTGATCAGAATGAATCGTATATTTAAAAGAGAAAATTACCTCGATCAATGCACGACGTTCCAACATTAATCGATATATAGTTGCACATTTGAGATATAATTCTTGGAGACGAGCGACCTCTTGAGCTAGACGTTCGTACACTTCTTCGGCTGATACGACTATATTATCAAATAACAGTAAAAACAATCATCAGAAAAACAATGAATTTTCTGGAAAAAAAATTGCAATAACTTACTTTCTCGAAGAGCGGCAAAGAATTCGTCCCGTTCATTTTGCGGAACGAGACATTTGTCCCAGAGTTCACCCAATTGCAAGGTGTACTAATAATGCGCATACGCAGTGACACAAGATCAATAAATAACATCGCATATAATCAGCATAAATTAGATAATTAAGATCTTACCTCGTCAATGGCTTTCTGAATGATTTCGCGCATAATCTCACGAAGCCGCTCTTGTTCTTCTGATAGCTAAATAACAAATCAAACAACGAAATTATCAATAAAATCAACTTGGAATAATTAAAAATTAAAAGTAATAAATTTTGTTACCTGATTCAAGTATTTTTCCTCGAGAGTATCCTTCAGCGTGACTTTTCTCTCGTTTTCAGGCATTTTCAATTCTTCCCAGAGACTCTTAACCTCCTTTTCGATCTTATCGCGTCGTTGTTTTCGTTCAATATATTCCTTTTCAAAACCCACTAATTTCTGCTTCAGAGACGTCAGTTGTTCTTCTGTTAAACTTAATCCATCCGGTAATTCCGGACTATAATACATGTAATCACGAGACGGTGATAGCGATCTCTCAAATCGTGCATTTTCATCGCCGTCGCTGTTGTCATTATCAGTATCAACAGAATTATTTTTTAGATGATAATAGTTTTGTATTTGGGAGAGTATATCGGCTATATCGTTGGGAGTTGCTTTATCCAAGAATAATTGAAGTAATGCCTTTTCTGTGTCATCAGCAGGTTCAAGTTTTAATTTGTCAAAGTAAAAGTGTAGTTGTGATGAACTATCTTCAAATGAATCCCGTCGTACAGTCTATACAGAAAAGATTAGTACGCATTTATTCTAAAAATAATCAAAAGCAAAATAATTACATCTCATGCATACCACTATCTGATGTAAATAATCGTATTTATACCAAATCTAAGAGTAAAGTATAATAGAAAAAAATTGGTTAAGAAGAAATGAAAAAAGCACATTAAATTTTAACAACACATTGATGTGATAAACAGTATACGTACAGGTTGAACGACCGAAGCACTCAGGTCATTCTCGAATATCTAAACAAAGACAAAAATAAATTCAATTGATACAAAATTCTGTAAATACGATAAACTATGAAAATGAAAATGACATATACTTCTTTTGGTGGCACGATATCATTAGTTTTTAATTCTTTGGCGAATAGCGTGACGCCATCAAGCCATATATTTATATTTTTGCGCGTAGTTGTGATCTCTTCGTGTAAACTATCGCGAATATTCTTTAAATAATCGCGTGTTACATTATTAGTTGGTAGAACAGGACCGGTCAGGTCCTCTAGAACATTATCTATTTGTCGTCCAAATAATCGACATTGCTCCTCTATTTCAGCCTATAATAATCATATGACAATGATAAATTTAGTAACAAACTATTTTAGACATTTCAATAACAGAAGACTTACAAATAAGTCTTCGATTTCGGAAGCAACTGCTAACTTCCAGATTATTTGTTCTTGGATGAGTTTGTCGAACTCTGTTAGAATGGTCTATTATATGTCAAAAAGGGAATTAGCACAACAAACGGTTGAATATCGATTGATTATCAATCGATGTGTTGTTTATTAAATATCTAATTATTTACATTTAGTTTTTTTCGTGCCCACTCTGACTGATCACCGTAATCTGTACCAAAACCTTGGTTAGTCAGCCTGTACTCGGCCCATAAGGATTTAAGTTGCTCGACTTTGAAATGGAGCGAGTCCATTGCAAACTATAAACGTAGCAACAGTTCAAAGCGCTAGCGAATAAAAAAGAAAAAGAAGCTTATAGCCAAAACTTGATGACCAGCAAGGTGATGTTGCTCACGTGCGCGCGTGTGTGTGTGTGTGTGTGCAGATAAAAGGTAAGTGTTGGAAAAGAGAGAGAGAGAAGGAAAGAACGAATGAAAGAAGTAATAATGTGCTTTGATGGATATGATTATTCGCCTTTTAAATAAAAAACTTGATATAGTAATGATAATCAAAGAATTCTTGGGGAAAACGGGCGTTGCTGTCGTTATGAGCTATATGATGATGTTTTTGATACCCAAAATTGAGATAAACGTATTCTGGAGCAAATTTGTTATTACAGGGCTAAACTTGTTTTGGCAATGGGTGACTCGAAATCTTGTTATTTTTTTCTTTGTTTTTCTTCTTGGTCGTCGATGATGATTGAGTGTAAGGCAGTGGGTAAAAGAGAGTAGAAGAGGAAAAAGGAGAAAAGATGATTAATAAATATCTATTTCTATTTATAAAATACTAAAATATATACGTGATATATAGATATATATAAAGATATAGATATATATAGATAGATAGATAGATAGATATATATATATAAATAAAAGGAGAGTGTGTATATATAGTTTGTTCCTTTGATTCAAAGGAAGATCGAGAATGACAGTTGGAGCAAAAAAAAAGGAATGTAAAAGCAGGTCAGCTTAAGAATAATAAATCATAATATTGATAAATAAATAACGCGCGTTAATTCACAAGTTTTTATGCCAAGTTTGATTGATTTATTTGATGTATGTATGTGATAGATTACTCCTCTCATACGCACAGTTAATAAAATATATAATAAAAGAATAAGAGGAAGGTAATACATATTCTTTAATTTGGTAACAACAAATCATTGTTCTTGAATGGATGGATTGATTGATTGATTGATGCTGGATGGTGACTGTTTAACAAGGGTTTTTTTGGCTACACAAACTTACCCTGTAATGATTAAATTCATAAGAAAAACGGAATCAATTGATTATTGTTCTCGGTGGCTTCAGAACATCAAATGTGCCAGACGGCTAAGCGGAGGCACTCTTATCTTAGCCGATCCTTATCTAGAAGTGCTTATTCTATAAAAGGCGGCACAGAGTGAAGGGGTCTGAAACTGTAGCGGAGATTTTTATGTGTAATCTGGTGAGTGCGTGCATGCGTAAAGAATAGGTGATTTATTATTCGCTTGTATGAACTTTGTTGTTACATTCTCACACATACACACAATCTCTAGTTAGACGACCAAATAATGCAAAATATTATGCAAACAAAAACCATTCCACATCGCATCTCGTATATAATACCTAAAACGGAACAATATAAATGATAGATTAATAAAACAATGATCCCTTTTTGTATATTCGCTACTTTTGGCTCTTAGTTCCCATCATTATTATTGTTATTGTTTAGGCAAATGTGCAGCGGAATGGATTTCTTAATTTTCCATGTATTTTTTAATATTGACTTGTGAACAATTATACACAGTGATGTGCAGATAATGGCGATTTCTTTCAGTGTTGAGAAAAACATGAATGGATGTATGTATGAATGACATAACCGCCTCGCTCAAATGGAACAAAAGAATTTTGCTTTTTGACATTGTTCGTGGTAGGATTAGGATCACAATGATAACATAACCATCACGCACAATGATGAGGTAATGAATGAATGCCGGACTTTATTTTGAAATTCTTGATTTTTCAAGATTTCAATACTAATTTATTCAATGGTAGAGTGCTTGCTCATACATGCAATCTATGAGAACTTAAAATGATAAATGAGAGTCAATTTTATCGAAGCAAAGTCAAAAAAACAAATCTCGACTTTTATTTAATTTAACGAAAATGGCATCGGGATTTTAATCCGATATCATTTTATGCACGATGGTGATTGATATCGAGATAAAGTATCACTAAATACATAAATGCAATCATGCAAGGTTCATAGCGTGGCAATGAGTTAATTGTTGTCTATTTCTACCCTTGTCCTAAGAATAGATTGATTGCACTGAGATTAAAGTTATCTCGGCATCTAGAGATGTAAATTTTGATAGATTCGTCTCGATCTTATAATATTTTTGTCAAGCAGAAATACTAACCAGCAGTCAAAAAATTTAAATGTGCAAAACATTAAATCATAAACGATATTGGATTAATATCTAGCACGACAAGTGATCAAAAAACCGCTGACTGCCTATTATTTAAAGTTTAGTGAAACCAGCCCATTGGGTCGATCAGTGTCACGAATCAATTGTTAAAAGTATATGATGTTTTTCTAAAAGGTCAGGTGATTTAAGAAAAGGGCACAAATTAAGTCATTGAAAGATCATGACGACATTGAAACAAGATGGTAAGGGGAAAAATATCATAAATCAAAGCGGGAAATTCTCGCGGAAGTGATCAATGATGATAAGGAAGCTAACTTTATGTGTGATTATAATTTTTTTTTTTGACTGTAAATCTGTGCAAGTACGACGTGTATGCACAATGTTTTTCAGTTTTACTATTTTAATAAGGTGACCAGACCAACATGTCATTCTTTCCCTAGCAAAAAAAAGAAGAAATGCGCATACAGTCCAATTAGTCTACCGATTTTCTATATTACTACTACAAAACAAACTACTCTTATTAATCGCCCTTGGAACTAATTTCGCCGCTTTTTTTTCTTCTTTTACAATTTAGTAATTATCCTTATCTACTTTATCTTTCTCGATAATTACAAGTGAGCGAGTGTGGCTCAATAATTTTTGTCCTCGGAGCTTCTTTCTTTTTCCTTTATATCACCACTAGAAATAATATAGATAGGTCGTGGTGTATTTCTCGTGCGTCTTTCTTTTAGCATCATACCCCTAATACCAGCTACACCCCTCTCAACTAATTAACGACACATGCGTTAATTGGAGAGCACAATCATATAACGCTAATTAGTATTTGCAAAGCAATCAAATTACATCCGATCACCACCTTACCCTTCTCTCCGCGTGTTGTTTGTCTTATCAAATATCTTTAGCTAGCAGAAAGGCGCATCAAAATACAAATGGGTAAACGTTCCTCACCGCCATTACATATTAAGCTTCCTGAGCGTCCAAACTTTTTTAACCACATGTCTAAGGTATGTGTTCTCATGTCTCTATAAGTGGTGTGTGTATATGTGGCTGGATGCACAGGGGAAGGATACAAAAAATAAACAAACCAAGGATATAGAGTATAGCATAGAAATGGTCAAAGAAGCCTTGTGTTTTTGCCCCTCTATAAGAATGATTTTTGAAATTATTTTTCGATTTGTGTGTGGACGCGTGTTTATTAAAACCTAAAGACAAAAATAAACTAAGGCTCCACAAATATCCTTCAAAGAAACCAAAAATCGTTATCCCTAATCTGTTACTCGACGGATCACCGTTGCCGTCGCCTACCAAAAGCGAAGAAACATTCGAAAAAGAACTCAATCGAGCCCGAAAAGAATTCAAGCAGTTTAATCAAGATCTCGACGAGATATCTCGGTCGGTGGAAAAGTTGGTTCAAGAGGCGCCGGAGTGGTTTGCGGGGATAGAAGAGATAAAAAAGAAACAAGGTGATTATTGTTTATCTAATTTAATTATGTGATTATATGAAATTGTATGATCATTTAATTGAATATTTTCTTTGTTTTCAAAGATAATGTTGAAGAATGCATTACAGCGACACAAGAAAAAATCATCGAAAATGAACATCGTCTAGAGAAATTGGAGACTTTACAATACGAAGCAAACGATGATATAAATAATGATCTGAAAAAAATTCAAGAGCAGCTCAATGAGGTATTGTTTATTGCAAAATTTGGTTTTCCTAATTAAAAGAATATTAAAAATAATAAATAATCTAATTAAATGATTTTTTAAATAAAAATAAACAGTTATTGGAAAAACATCGAACAGCACATGCAAATGTTCAGAATCTTGATCGGAATCAATTAAGAACTACCGAGCAGCTTGATTTAATGCTACATGCTATACATGAATATGCACGTTTAATTGAAGAGTGTAGCACTACAATTAAACATTTCGATGATGTCGGATCTCCAATTAAATATGAGTCTTTGGATTTGTCTCCATTTCGACGAGTAGAGGTATATGAGAAACTTTTTATTTTTTGTTAGTTTATCATTATTATTGATATTATTGTATCTATAACCTAATATTAACTTTTTATGAAAGGGCAGTTCATATTTCGAAGATCACATTTATCGCGCAAGTCGCGCGACAACACCCAATGGAAGCTTACCCACTTCGCGATCTACATCACCAATATTCTTTACACATTCTGGCACAAGTACACCCGCTATCACATCCTCACAATCAGCTGATCCATCTTCTCCACTATCACCTACTGGCCCACCAGCGACTTCACCCCAACCAATACATCCACTTCCCTACTATCAGTTACGGCATCAACAGCTTTTGTTACTGGGAATGCGACGAGCAGCTGTAGGACTGAAATTTTTACTGTATGCTAAACAACTGAATGATTTGAAGAATGGTCATCCGGAAATTGATTGTGATTTAGATGTTGATTTATTTGGTGACTCAATGGATGAATGCTCGTTATCGAGTTATGCTACATACACAAAAACTGCCGTATTCAATAGCAAAGATAGTGATTATAGTAGCAGTGATACTGATGGCGCGAAAACTAGTAGTGATGATTGCATAAATAGTAGTGGTGGTAACAGTGAAAATAATAACTATAGCAATTATCATGGTGAAGGAGGAAAAGTCAGTGTCACAATAAGGAAACGACCACATGTATTTCATTCTTATGATCTATTAAGATTTGACAAAAGAAATATTGTCAACCAACAACAACAGCAACCGCAACAGCAAAGTTGACATTCAAGGTACAGAGGTGTTTTTCGTAGGAGCTTTCGAATGGTACCCAGAAAAGAAACATATGGACTTTGGATAAAGAATATTTATCTATGTAAATTAATGTATGAGGGAGGTGGTGTGAAGAATCAGAAAATCTTTTGAAATTTTTGATAAGAGGGGAAATTTTTTTTACACTTTTTAGCCAAAGCAAAGACATTGGGATTTTTCGGATTTTGGCAAAGTGTGTGTAAATTTTTATGATTATTATTTTTTTTTCAAATCAATCACTATGATTGTCATCATCAACACGAATAGTTTGGAAAAACAAACATTTCAGAGTTAGCTAATTTATTTTCGAAGATTAGATTAGCATTATTCCACATTTGTATAATAGATATTAAATTGGGGACGGGAATGTAAACACGGGTGTTTTGTATGCATGTTTTCTGGGGGGAGGGTTTAACGACATTGTATTTTTCTTTTGGACTGAATTATCTTTTCTCATTTTCGTACGTTAAACTACTCCTCATTTTGTAGATGATATAGTTTTTTTGTTTGATCCTTATGTTTCAACAAGAGATGAGCGTAATAATTATTATTATACATGAATCTGAGTTTTTTATGATTTCTTGTTTTCTTTTGGGAATAATAAATAAATATATGAACCTACCTCTATATCTCTACTCAGTTCAGAATGATTCAAATAATTCAGAATTACGCTGAACTTGAAACAAATGTATGTGAGCTGATAAGGTTGAAAGGGAAGGACGCTATTCCCAATGTAATTTAATAATAATAATAATAATAATAATATCAAAAATACCAACTTTTATTTACAGTTAAATATAAATAATATTATATAATGGTATAAAATAAATGTAAAGTAATAATAAATAATATAAAAATCAAACTAAAAAATAAATACGCCATCTAGCATATCAATTAAAATTCTTTAGTCTAATGGTGTAGTGAAATTACTAGGGAACAGACCGCGAACTTTTCTCGATACGTCCAATATTTCTCCTTCCCACCATCCATCATCTTGCATTGCAAGTACTGCCAAAATATCGCCAGCTGTAAAAGAAATTTCTTCGGGAATTGTGGCACGATAATCATATAACGTGGTAACTATATTAAGTTTAGTTAGAATAAATTCGAATAGTTTTTAGCAATGCGAATATTAATAAAGTATATAATAAAATTACCATAAAATAGAATTGGTCGACCTTCATCAGTATATTCATTAGCCGTTCTCATTACAACGGGTCTAACAGACGGTGCTTCTCCAACTGGTTGTATTACTGTTACTGGCTGTTGTAGATTCTGGGGTGGCCGTCCATTAAATGGCACACTATTACTATTATTATTGGCGAAAGATTGTCTTCTTGCAGGGTTTCCATTATTGTAAGTATTTGAGGGCATTGTGGCTGTTCTTGTTAAAGAAGATGCCGGTGATTGTTGTTGTATTTGCTGTTGTTGTGGTGGAGGTTGATAGAAAGTCGGATTTTGGTAATTAGTTGTGTGATAAGATCCATGTCGTAGTTGTTCTGGTCTTTCAAGATTATATGCACCTGATAATTGCTGATGAAAACCAGCAGTATCAACGCCAGCTCCACGAATATATCCACTTGAAACAGAGCTAACAGTATTACTTCGTTGTATTGTATTTTTTGGAGCTGGGCGCTGTTGTGCTGATGGAACAACGTAACCAACATGATGAATAGGACCTGGTGGTCTCTGTGCTTCACCATACATAACGCTATTTGTGTGCGTTGTAGGTCTTATTTGTGGTGATGTCTTTTGATATGCTCGAGCAGGATCAATATTCGCTGGCTGTATATGATGATTTTGTGGTGACGTCTTTTGATATGGTCGAGTAAGATCAATATTCGCTGGTTGTACATGATGAAGATGTTGATTATTAATCTATTTGAATTAAGTAATAATATTCAGTTAGAAATGTGAATAATTGTAAGAAAATAAAAAATTTAAAAATCGATTATTACTTGCTGTTGGAGTTGAGGTTGGAAAGGCTTTGTTGCAGCAGAATAAGAAACAGGTTCAGATTCTTGTTGATCTCTAATGTTTGGATTTACTGTGAATATCCCAGTTGCTGGTGGAAGTTTTCCATTATTCTCCATAAATTTCTCGGCCAAAGTATCTTGTGTTACTCTACCACGAGCGTCTATTGTTATCCCGAGTGGATTACCACTGGATGAACTAGATGAAGTAAGTACCGAATCAGATCTCGAGACTGTTTGGTGTGGTGAAGCTGATTGAACTTGAGGTGATGCCGACGGAGACTGATGAATCAAAGATTGTTGTTGATTTATAGTGGAAGAGAAAGAAGGTGAACCATTTTGTTTAGATTGGTCATTTTGCCGTGGACTTTGTGTTCGCTGTTGCGAAGTTGGTAATGGACTAGGACTTCGAGGCTCATTATTATTCGTATTATTATTGTTATGATTATGATTATGATTATGATTATTATTATTATTATTATTATTATTATTATTATTATTATTATTATTATGATTATGATTATGATTATTATGATTATTATTATTATTATTATTATTATTATTAGTAGTAGTAGTAGTAGTAGTAGTATTAGTTCTAGTGCTAGATGGCGATTTACGCAAATCACCTGGTCCTTGAATAGCAACCGAAGGTTGTGGAGAACGAGATCGACTATTTATCATTGATTCGATTTCTTGTTGTTGAGATGATTGAGGACCATATTCTGCAGAAGGTTGTCGTCTAAAGTCTCCGGGACCATTAATCAATTGTGATGGGTCATAGATTTGACCGGCAATCGTTCCAAATTGTTGTTGTGATGATTGCGGAGGAGGACGTTGATATTGTTGTTGATACGGATATTGATTATGCTGTTGACGTGATGGTTGCTGCTGCTGTTGTTGGTACGGAAAATGTTGTGGTTGTGTTTGTGGACGTTGTTCTTGTCTATGATAAGGTTGCTGAAATTGTTGTTGAGGTGATGATTGTTGTGGGAATCCATAATTAGGGGATTCATTTCTATTTTGGATTAATGGTATGGGTGGTTGAGGTTTATCTTCATTAATATACTTTGGAGAATTATTATTTAAAAGGGTTTGATTTGATACATTAGTATCCTGTGGATCTTTAATATTCGAGCTTGGATTTTGATTTTCAAAATTTGCTAACGCTTGTTTAATTGGATCATCTTCACCGTTTGCAGTATTAGTTGTCTCATTATTCATGTTTATTTCTAACATATTACCACCGATCGAAACATATTGCTTAGCCAATGGGTTCAGTGGTTCTTGCTCTTCTGATTCATTTACTGATAGACTAGGTTTGAAAGTATTTATTTCGTTGATAAGCATATTATTATTGTTGTTATCATCATCATCGTCGTCGTCGACGTCGCTGCCATTATTATTAGTAGAAGTGGTTTTCTTATTCGTTAAAGCGTATATACTTGCTCGTCTCGATGTAAGAGATGATTTTTGAGAGAAAGAACTAGGTGAAGAACTATAAATGTTTTGTCGAGTAGGACCGCTCGGTATCTGTTCATATGGTGTTGCCGTTACTCCAACTATCGAAGTCGCAGAAGAATTTACACTAGTAGAATGATCCGATGCTTCTTCGATAGAGTCAAGAATGAACGAGTTGTCGCCGAATTCCGAATCTCTGTCAAATGAGGCTATTGTGTATCGCGGACCTGGATCTTTGGCACCCGTCTGAAAATTTATGTAGCTTGGTGGATCTGAATTGATTAATTCATTAATTAAAATTCGGATATATAACACTTTTTTGATGTTACGAAATTAAATTTGAAATTTTGATTACCAGGTATCTCTGGTCCAGTTGCACGTTCCCTTATAAAAATTGCGATGTCTTTTTCAATGTCGCATTCTTCCAAAGAAATCCGAATAGATTCACTTGACTATAATAAAGGAATAGTAGCGTTCTCGATTAATTATTATCGTGATTATTTTATATACATTATAGTTTTTATTTACCTCATCATCCGCAACACAACTCTGAGAGATTAGATTTGCAAATTCCCATAAATGTGTCTTCAAAAATTGTATTCGTTTCTCTTCCAAGTGTTGGAATTTCTAGTTTATAATAGATTGTACATTCAGATTTTTCGTGTATGTTATATTTATATTTATATTTAAATTTATAATAATTACATCACATGCAACCCTCCAGTCATAGTTCCATCGTTTGATTGTGTCCCCCATGCTTTTAATTAAATTTTGATATTCTTGATCTTTCAATAAGATTTTGTTAACTTGATTAATAAAAACTCGATGTTTATTTTTAATTAGAATAACAGATAAAAAAAACAGTTTACATACCAGAATTCTTGACGGCTATTTGACTTTTTTCTAGTTTCATATTAAGCTATCACCGATCAAAATTAATAAATTAACTTTAAAAAATAAAAAATCACTCAGATAACATTAATTCGCAATATTAAAAAAATTGCGTTCAAACCTTTTCCAAATCTCTACCAATCAAAGTTTGTTTAGAAGCAAGCATTGCATTAATTTTTATACAATCACTCTCATATTTCTCTTTTGCCTGTTTTACCATTATTATTATTATTATTATTATTATTATTATTATTATTATTATTATTATTATTATTATTATTATTATTATTATTATTTTTTCCACAATATATATAATAAAAGAATTACGATTGTTTAGTTAGAAAGGCAATCAACCAACATTAACCTATTCAAATCAATTACCTGATACAGAGAGGATGATGCTATCTTGCATGAGACTTGCCTTTTGCAAATGAGATGTGTGTGTTTGTTTTGTACGTAAACTCCGTTCTAGGGTTGTTGTTTGCTATACATAAAAACAAAATTATCATTAAGAATTAATCTTCCCAAGTAAGTCCGAATTAAATATAGATAAAGAAATGACGAATCACCTGTTTACGTAGGTCTTTTTGTAGGGCTGTAAAAGTTATTATTTTCTGTTCGAGCTCAGTTCGTATTTGTTGGGCGAGATTTATATGTGATAAACCTGTCGCTTCGATCGCTTTTCGTGTGGCATCGAATGATTTTCTTAGAGTGCTTTATTTCAATCATCAAAGTATATTGATGAAAGATTTCTCGGAGTCATTAAATGAATTTGATTAAATGATAACAACTTACCCAATTTCATCTTTGCCAACCTGCGATTTTGCTAATTTTAATAGTCTTTTACCGTAATCTTCTTCGATGGTAGCACTATACGAGATCGAAATAAATGTATGTTACGAATAAGATATCGTAGATATTGGTTCAACATAAAAATAAATGAAATCTACCGGTCATGAAACATAGTTTTAACCTCTTCGCAGGTCTGTTTCGCTTGACGCATGCGCATCGTTAATACCTCATAGCCCGCCTCGTCCCTACCCTTGAAATCACAAAAAATGTCCCGTCAATATTAAATTTCTACAGGTAATTTCAACTAAACAAACAAATTCTCACCCAAAAATTATTAGAAAAGGTATCCGGGCGAGTTGCGCCAATTTCAGTCGCTGAAGTCATTTTTAAAGTATGTAGTTTAGCGACTTTAAAAGAGCTTCGCGAGCCAATATATTTATTTATTTTGATGTATGATGCATTTAATTGGACGAGTTGTATGTTACAACTCACTTATTCATGCAAAAAGGTTCCACCAAGAATTGATATTTTCTAGAATGAATTCATTATCGTTATCGTTATGGAACTTTTCATCGTTATCGTTATATGAAAATGCGTCTTTGGAAAAATCATTGTTTGACAAATAAACCAAAAAAGTATTAAGGCAAATTTACTCTTCGTTATTTATTTGAACCCAAATTGGAAATTAAATAAAATAAAAATTTGTAAATTAAAACATTTTTTATCTATATTAACAATTTACATAAGTGTTTGAAGAATTCAATTTTTTATAAGAGATATTCTAAAATTAAAGTTTAGCTCCGTAGAATTGGGCAACCTTCAATGATTGCCTCATTCCCAAATCAAGCATAATCTCCTCGGAACCTCCAGGGATTGCGTAAGCACGTACTTCACGATATAGACGTTCTACTTTTTCTCCTTGTCTAGATAATAAATATCATGTATTAGTAAGATCGAAATTTAAATTATAATAGATTGACTATAGAGAAAATTGACAATAATTACCCTCCACGAGTATATGCTAAACCACCAAAGATTTGAGCAGCTTCACGTGCACAATATTCAAAGGTTTGTGTCGATTGAGCTTTCAAGAGAGCGATAGGACCACCAAGTCTAGTAGCAGCCTCTGTACCATGCAATTGATCTGTTTGGTAGATTAGATTTTCCATCCAGGCATGTGTTGCTTCGATTTGACGTGCCATATGTGCCAATTTGTTACGAATTACAGGATGATCCACGAGTTTAGTGTTGAATGTCTTGCGTTTATGAGCATATTTAACAGCTTCGTCGTAGCAAACACGTGCAAAACGATTGGCTTGAATAGCGATTCCCATACGTTCATGATTGAAATTGTGCATAATACACTATTAAAAAATTAATTAGAGTCTGAATTAGCAAATAACATATTAAAGAAAAAAATAAAAAAGAAAATACTTTACCTTGAAACCACCATTAACTTTACCGACAATATTAGTAGCGGGAACTTTTACGTCTTCAAAAGTGATATAAGCAGTACCAGATGCCCATACACCAGAACATTGCATTTGTCTTGTCTTTACACCTGGCATCGTTCTTTCGATTAAGAGTAACGAAATTCCTCCCATACCAAGTCCTCCAGTACGAACAGCAACGGTGAAATAATCGGCAAAGACACCATTTGTAATCCACTTCTTTTCCCCATTAACAATATAATGTTTACCATCTTCTGTTAATTTAGCTTCAGTTCTAATGTTAGCCACGTCTGACCCAGCATAAGGTTCAGTAATGGCAAGACAAATGAATTTTTCACCGACAAGACATTGTGGAAGAATTCGTTTTTTCAATTCTTCTGAGCCAAATTTTGTAATTGGTGGAAGACCGATACCAAGACCTCCGATTAATCCCCATAATATACCACCGGATCCACATCGAGATAATTCGTCACAAATAATGAATTCGTGGAAACCGTTAAATTCTTCAGGGTTTACGCCTCCAGCTGGTTTGACATCTGTCAGATACCTGGGTAAAAATTCAAGAACATTGAATAAGGAATTTTTGTTATCATCACATAAATTGCTCAATAACTTACTCTTTTGGCCATGGAGCACCACAAACACCCGGTAAAATACCGGCTTTGCCAGCTTTGATAAAGAGTTCAGCTGGAATTTTTTTAGCTTCATCCCACTCAAAAGTATTTGGCATAATCTCGATATCAACAAATTTACGAACGGCCGCACGTAAACGACGATGCGAGTCATTATAATATGGACTGTAAAAATCTTGATACCAATAAGGGTCACCAAAGGGAACAAGATCACCGAATTGTGCATCTTCTGCGCTCGTAACAAGATCTTCATTTTTAGTGGCCGCGGCTTGAGCCGCTGCATCGCCAATATCACCGATATACAATTGTGGTCCGTATTTATCGAGAACCGACGCGTTATGGAAATTGTCGAATTGCTTTGTAGCGTCTTGACCGCCTACTTTTTGCAATATTTTTTTGCCGCCTGGATGTTCACCAAGAAAATTTGTCACGTCATAAACTTTACCATGAACGATAATCCAAAGAGAGTCATCGTTCTTATGTTCAGCTACCTCTTCGACAGTAAACGTTTTTGCCATTTTTCTTTTTCTTTTTCTCAAATATAGGTAGAGAGGAAAAATTTTATTATGTGTAAAAAAATCTTTTTTATTTGAGATTAATCACTCCTCTTCGATGGAATTCAATTAAAAAAAGTTTGTCATCATATTTTGGATAAAAATACGCTATTCGATATCAAATTTAATGATGATTAATTTACGTTCTCGTGATGCAAGGAGTATTTTCCTTGACTCAGCAAGTTTCACAAACATCCTAAACATATGATAACGATAAGATTCCGTGCATCAGCTGCTAGATTAAAAAAAGTTAATCAACTTCTATTGGCGAAATCAGAATTTATCGTTATCTAACGCTAAAGTCAATGCACGAAAAATCGAAGAGAGAATTCATCAACACTGATAATCATAATTTTTTCACAGCCTCAACTTTTGTATTACATGTAGAGCTCCTGCATCTTTTTATTTCAATTTGAGATTAAAGATATTCCCTGTACAGAAATTCGGAGATTTTATTAACAAAATTCTAGATCTTTGCCGGGTCTGGACAAAGATTGCAACTTGTATTCTGGATCTATGTCGAATCCTGACTTACGTTTCAAAATCTAGTGGAAAAGTTCTAGAATTTTGTTAATAAAATCTTTGAAATTCCGGAATAACTATACGGTGAATTTCCGACAGATTTTTTTATAGGAATGAAATATTTATGTAATTAATTATATCGATAGTAGACAGTTTCAATTTTCACAAAAGACTAAATAACTGATAAGCTAGAGAATTATTACTATTATACATATGATATTATTATATAATCACTGAATTGAGACTTTTTTAATTTCGGTTAACTTTTTCAACTTTGCCATCGCTTCTTTATGACCAAGAGATTTAGCTTCTTTAAGATATTTTTCAGCTAACGCTAAATCTTTTGGTTGATCGTGTTTACCATTCATCAAAATTTCACCATAAAGATACAATGCATCCTTGTTTTTAGCATCAACAGCCTTCATTAAATATATTAATCCATTGTCCTTATCATACGAATCTCCAGTTACAGTTAAACAACTGTATGCGTACCAATATTGAGCTTTAGTTGTATATGAATGTCGCGGTTCTGCAGATGCTGATTCGCGGAGATAAATAGACGCTTTATCATCTTTTTCATCTTTTTTAATTCCGTCATATTCCATTATCATATATAAGCCAATAAAATATTTTGCCTCGTTAACGTGTTCACCACTTTTCACGCATTCTTCAAAGATTGGGAACGCTTTATCAAACATCTTTTTATTGTGAAGTTCCAATGCTTCTCTCCAAGAAAGTGTATTATATGAAACTTTTGCAACAGAAATGTTCTTATTTTGTGAATCAAGCTTATTAAGCAAATTGAATATCTCTATGATTTTTGGACGATGATTTAGTTGTTGATCCCAGGCTGCTGTCATGATTTCGGTGTATGTCCGTGGTGTGTCCATAGCGATAGGAATTGGATCTGGACGAGTTCCAGAAATTACTGCCTGACATACGTGATGATCATTTAGGTTCTCGTAGGGTAATTTTTGAGATGCGATTTCCCACATTACTATAGCAAAACTGAAAAGCAGAATATTTAATATTGTGCATAAATTTATGAGAAAATTAAATTAGTATTATTATTATTATTATTACCTATATATATCCATTTCCTTTGAATAAGGTATATATTTCTTAGACAATTTCTCCGGCGCAGTCCATCTAGCATCAAATTTTTATTAAAATAATATAAAATCAACTTTTTTTGTTCATTTTTAAACTACCTGATACTTCCAAATCTTATCAATTTTTCTGTAGCGAAGTGTGCCATTCTGAAATTGCTTAATTTCGGATTGTAATTCTCATCTAACAATATGCTCGAACTAAAAAAAAAATAAAGGTTATTTATTAATTGTATTATATATGAACGAAAATAAGTTTTGATTTATTTGTTTACCTCTTTATATCGTGGTGAAGAATATCGACTGAATGACAAAAATTAAGCGCAACTGAAATTCCTTTTGCTATCATAATTTTTCGGGCCCATGGAATATTACGCGTATTTCGTAAATATGTTTCAAGATTGTTGTTTTCAGCCCATTCCGTTATTATATAAATGTCCTCTTTTATTTTAAGAGCACCATAACTTATAAGTAATGAATAATATTATATCAATTATGGTAACATCGATATTAATTATGCGTTTGATAAAATAGTTTACTCACAATTGCTCGATATTTGGACATTTTTCCAACATATTCAGAATATTTGCTCGGTGTTCGATTTCTTTAACGCTCATTAACATAGTGACTTTAAGTTGAGCTACTGGGGTCCCTTTATAAATCCTTTTTTGAATTTGCTTTTTTGATCCTCGATATATCTTCGAATCAATTTCGTTGAAATCCGATTCTTGTAAAATTATTTTATTCGATAAAAAGTTATGGTTTATTATATTTTCTTTTCCAATTGTGTTTGTATTTGCGTTTAAGTCATCAATCGCTTTTTCTAAATTTGTTAGCAGCGTATTTTTCTGTTTCTTAAGTGAATTTAAGAAAATTATTTTTATTATTTTTATTCTATTTGTAAAAATCAAAAGTTCTAAAAGAATTTTACTCACATTATTTGATCTTATAAGTTTCATAATTGATCTTATAATTTTACGCCAAAGCGAAAGTTGTTCCTTTGGTGGTTTAACAAATTCCAATAGGTCTGCTAAAATTTTCTCGTAAATTATTAGATACTGTTGAAAATTATCTGACATTGGCGGATCGTTTTGCAGTATTTCATTTGCATCCTTGATCTTTTCCGAGAATTCTTTGTTCCTTTTTTTGTAGTTGTTTTCAATTATTTCGTTTCCCATATTCACAACATTTATTACGATATGTGTTAAGCCACCATTATTTGTTGTTGTTGGTTCTTGCGATATTGAGTAAATTTTCGAGGAAGACGGATTTTCAAAAGATGTATCGCTATTTGTTTCCATTTTATGATAAAACGAATGTATAATATGATTAATAAAAATAATGCGGATTTAAAGGATAGATACTGAGTTCACAATGTTTTCATAAAAAGAAACTATTATCAGACATTGATTACCGTTACTAGATCTAAATATGGACAAATGTTACCGATACAAGTACACAAATAAGAGTCTCTATATAAATTTAAATCTTGATGAATGATTTATTTATTATATGCGATAATTTAACAAGTTATAAATTCAGCATGGATTATTAATTCTAATGTACGACCAATATCGCATGCGTTCTTAAAAGTACGGAAGTCTTTACATTATTATGGAAGACTGTGGACATACTAATGTTTCGTATCTTTGTTATCTTTCTTGTTAGACCTTACAATGTAACGTTGGACAAAGAGAAAAAATGATCAGTGAAAAATTAAGGTTTTTGTGTAGCTTCTATAGTCAGTCATTTGATCGTTGTAATAATAATTAAAAAAATAAAATCTTTATTATTAATGTATTATACATATAAATTTAAATATTTATTTTTAAAAATATACAAATCTAATTATTTGTTGCATTACTTCTGATTGCCACTGTAGAACTAGAAGAATTACTACGAAGTTTTCTTAATTCTCTAGCTGCGTCTTTATGACCAAGGGCTCTAGCTCTTTTAAAATAATCTTCAGCTGCCTTTAAATCTACTGGTTGATCATGTTCACCTTTTTTCAAAATTTTACCATAAAACAATAACGCGTGTTTCTCGCCAGCATCAGCAGCCCTCTTTAAATATTCTAATCCACTTTCCTTATCATACAATTCTCCAGTCAAGCAAACATATGAGTACCAATATTGTGCTTTAGTTGTATATGTATGTGGTGAAGATGCCGATGCCGATTGGCGAAGATAAACAGACGCTTTAAGTTCATCTTTCGGAATTCCGTCGTAACTTAAGAAAATGTATAGACCAACTAAGTATTTTGCTTCGTTAACATGATCTCCGCTTTTTGCATATTCTTCGAAGATCGGGAATGCTCTTGCATATTGTTTATTATCGTGAAGCTGCAATGCTTCTCTCCAAGAAGGAAGTGTATTTGTAGCGGGTATGTATGTAATTTCCATTAAATGTTCATTATTATTGTGGTGATTGTTTACTGAACCGTTTCCATTCATTTCATGTGACATGGGTCTATTTTCATAGGGCATGTATTGATAGTCGTTGTAAAGTTGATTGAGAATAGTAGATATTGCTTTGATTTTTGGACGAAATTCGTGTTGTTGATTCCATGCTGATTTCATAACATCAGCGTATTTCTTTGGTGTGTCTTCCGGAATTGCTCCTGGATGTTCCCCTGACGTGACTATTGCTCTAACTTCAGTTTCGTTAGTGATCGTTTCGTACGGTAATGTTTGTGCAGCTATTTCCCACATTAAAATTCCAAAACTAAAAACACGCAAATATTAGAGTTAATACTAGTTTAATCAAAAAATCAGATTGATAATTATATACCTATAAACATCCATTTCCTTAGTATAAGGTATATAGTCATGAACTAATTTTTCTGGCGCTGTCCACCTTTAATGATTTTCTAATTAGAATAAAAACAAAGATCGAGCTAATAAAATTGCGTAAATTTTATCCCCAACTACCTCAGAATTTTCATTTGACCTCTGATCGAAGTTGAACTTTCTGTCTTGAACCGGGCAAGTCCAAAATTACTCAATTTTGGAGAGAAGTTTTCATCTAAAAGAACATTCGAGCTAACGAATACGGGAACAACATCTTTTAATTATTTTATTTCATTTCAAAAAAAAATCCATCGATATTCGTTATTTACCTTCTCACATCATGATGAAAAATGTCAGATGAATGACAAAAATTAAGCGCAGCTGAAATCCCTTTTGCGAACATGACTTTTTGACTCCATGAAATAAAGCGTGTATTTCGTAAATATGTTTCAAGGTCACCTTTTTCGGCCCACTCAGTGACAATACTAATGTCCGATTTATCTAACAACACGCCGTAACTAGCGCATATTATATTAAAAAGATGAATGTTTATAATTTCATGAATTAATAAATACCTACAATTGCTCTATATTCCGACACTTGCTTAATTCATTGAGAATCTTTGCTTGTCGTTCGACTTCCTTTGATTCTATTTTTGTCATATCTTTACGTTGAGCTACTAACACTCCCTTATATATCCTCTTTTGAATTTGGCGTTTTGATCCTCTAGATTCGCTCTGATTAACATCACTGAAATGCTTTTCATCCAATATTATAGCTTTTTTATACTTGACATCAACACCTTTATTTAGCAACATAATATTTAAGGAAGCTTGAATATCATCTAGCTTGTCGCTATGTTTATCTAACTTTCCGCTATTTTCATCTAACTTTCCGCTATTTTTATCTAACTTTCCGCTATTTTCAATAGCTATACTTAAATTCAAATCTGCGATCGCTTGATCTATTCGTGAGATCAATTCTCGATGATATTCCATATTCTTTTATAAGATTAAGAGTAGAATTAAATGTAAAATTTATAATAATTCATGTTGTCATTATGAACTTCAACTTACATCATTTGCATTCACAAAAGAAAGGAAATGTAGCTTAAATTTTTCACTGAAACTCGACGGTTTTTTTATTTCTTTTACATATTCTATTGTTTCAGTTAAGACAGCAATATAATTTTTATATTGTTTCTCTAAGAACATTGAGGTCGGTGGATTGGCTTTTATTGTCTCGTTGGCAGCTTTGACTCGTTTTGATAGTTGCTTACAGACTTTTTTATGTCGTTTTGCATTTTCGGCACATTCAATTAATTTGTCTGCTAATTTACACGCACTTTCGGCCAAAGGAACTAAGCTTAAAACATCGACCATTCCCCGTACTATGCCGGAAACATTATTGCCAGGTTGGTTATCGTCATCATCAATATCCATTTTTACAAATTAAAACAATCAAAAAGATGAATAAATGCTTTGTTAGCTTTAGTTACATAACAAAAAATTACATGAGTTCACTTAATATCTAGAAATTTCCGAAATTCCCAGTGAATAAATAGTCATGCGCTAAAGGAATTCCCTTTTCTTGATCTTTCCTGTTTCGAAGTCGTAAAAGAAACCATTTTTATCTTCTGGTAACGTTGTCCAGTGGTACAATATATGCGGATGATTATTGCTTTTATAGACAATCACAATGGTTATACAGCAGAAAATTTTGCAACAATGCTAATTATGAATAATCCAATAGAATGTAAAAATTCACATGCTTATGTTAACGTTAATGTTTGAAACTAACAACCTTAGATGCGAAATTAAAGAATTTAAAAACGTGATTTTATTTATTCAAAATCAAATTCTTCATCATCCAATCCTAAAAAATAATAATAGAAATTTTAATACATACAGGTAAAAAAAAAACGCAATAAGCTAAAATTAAAATTTGCTCACCTGACGATAATTCTAATTCCATAGAAATAACTTGTGTACAATTTGTTGGTTCTGGGAGATTTTCAAATCTAAGTAAAGTACTTGTACGCGTTTCACTCGGATCAAAAGAATCTGATTTACGATTAGCGCGTTCTTTTTTAGCAATCTCATCGGCTTTGTCGAATTTTGCCAAGAAATTTACATTTGTCCAAAAGTTTTTTATTTGTTCGCTTATTTGACGAGCAGTCGGACGTTTTTTAGGGTCAGCATCCCAGCATTGATTGACGAGTTTTACGTATTCTTCGGGAGTTCCTATGAAAACAGAAGGACGTAAACCTTTGCAAATATTCATTGCTAGGTTACTATCGAATTTATAGCCTAAAAAAGCCGGTATCCCACCGTTTGCCACTTCCGATAGAACAACACCAATACCATATATATCACTAAATTTGAAATTTTTATAATTAATAGAATATAAAATGTTATCAATTAAGAGCATAAAAATATACCTTGCTTGAGAGTATGGACTACCACGTAAAACCTCTGGAGCCACGTAAGGTAATACGCCATATACACCTGATTCTTTTGTATGACCCTTGAGTGATAAGGAAAGACCAAAATCCGCAATTTCGGCTTTTACACCATTTTTACATAGTATATTACCACTATGCATATCCCTGTGCACGTATCCGCCATCATGAAGCAAACATAAAGTTTCTAAAGCTCTAGAAATTAAGACCAATTTGTTTCGCCATTTCATTTCAGGGGTTTTCAACAAATAACTTCGCAAGTCGCCATTTTCTGCAAAAGGCAAAACGAGCAAATAGGCTTTTGTTTCAGGATCTTGAGATACACCGTAAATGTAACAGTTCGCAAAAGCATGTAAATTGATTTCATATAAACAACTGAGCTGAAAAAATTATTTATTTTTATTTATTTACACGATAAAAATTCATCCATATCCATTGAACCATTTGCTTGCTTAATTGCAACAGCACATTTTTCTCGGCTATATTTTCCATTACAGTCAATAACACGTCTTCCCGTTGTCCATTCCGCTTTAAATACTGCACCAAATCCACCTCGTCCAATTAAATCCATTCCTTTAAATTGCTCATAAGGAATCCATTCCATAAAGTTTGAGTCCCATTGAGTAGAAAATAATAGACTTTTCTTTATTAACTTATCGAGTTTTGCATTTCCGCTAGTCCAATCTTCACGAAAAATTTTCGTGTCACAGGTTTGGCACCAGAATCCTTCAAAATCTTTGCATTCTGAACAACTTTCCCTCTTACACCAATTGCTCATTTTTGCTCATTTTGACTGGCTAAGATTTTTATTTGCAGGATAAAACTTGATATGTTTGATAATATGTATGTGATCTGAAGAAATATGGTTTATATGAAGTAAGAATGTAATTTTACGAGCAGATTTTTTTTCTTAGCATAGTACAGGGTACGCAGATGTTATTACTTTAAATGATAAAGATAAATGCATGCATTATCTTTGTTCTTTTATTCGTTTCACATCATAATATTAACGTTATTAATCTCTTTTTCTTGATTTTGTTAATTCATTAATGCAAGTTGAATGTAATGAATGTTTCGTGATCTCCAAAAGTCATTGTTATCTAAGACAAAGAATTGAAATTTTTTAGGATTCAATCTAATGTGTTTTACTTTTTTGTAACGGTAACGGTAGCGGTAGACATTTATGATTGTCATTTTCATAATAAATATAGGCCGTCAAAATTTAACTTGTCTTTAATCACATACTTTATATTCTTTAAATCTCAAAATGTCAACGCCGATTGTCAATTACCAGCAAAAGAAGAATGAGTTTTCTCAAAGAATTCCCGAAAATGTGTCTCTGAACATCTTTAGTTTTTTGAAACCTAGAGATATTTTGTCTTTTGCAATGGTGAAAACATTATAAATTCAACTTTAGATTCAGTCTTTTTGTCTCTAAACAAAACATTAAACTTCTAATTTTGTTTAATTCGTATTAGACTAATAAACACCTTCAAAAGCAATTAGAAAACGAAGACTTTTGGGAATTTATTTGTAAAGAACAATTCGAACCACATCACATTGAAGATGTACAGAACACCCTTAGAAAAATTAAAGAGTTAAAATTAATATTAGCAGAAGAGACGTATGAAACAATCCAACAAGCGATTGAAGACGAACTATTTGAATGGAAATTTCTATACAAAAAACTTTGTGAGTTTGTGTAACATTATTCCACCTTCACGTTCATTACTAATTTTTTATTATCAGCATTTATGTGTCGTTATATCTCATATGAATCACGTGTCACTGATTACGATAATCCTGAAAATTGGATTATTGTAAATTCAGAAGAAAGGTTTGTAATATATACATACTTTTTTTAAGCTCGTTATTCGAATAATAAAGTTTATTTCTCATAAATTAGTGAATTTGGTCAATATTATCAACTTGAAAATATTTCTTGGCTTCATGTAAGCAAATATTTAATTATATTGGCTTAATAAATAAACATATTATTTATTGATCTATTTTTATTGATAGGTTGAAATTGATTCACCTCACGTTTTACCTGGAAATTACGATATAATCTGGCGACTCAAGATTAATTCAAAGAATTATAAAAATTTGGATAATTTAGAATTTAGCGTGGAAATTGTTGAAAGAGTATGTTTGGATATTTCCAAAGAATTTATTTATAGATACTTATAATTGTCTAAATTATAAATAGGTCCATGAATTGTCTACAATGGGAGAATATATGGATTTTGCTAAAGAATTCGTCAAACCTTTTGTTCCTGGACAAAAGCTAATCAGCATTCTAAAAGAGAAAGATGACTGGGTCGAATATTGTTTACCGGTTCAAGCCAAATTTGACCCTCAGGAAGCTTCGATTCCGGGCATTCCTACTACTTTTCATTTACGATGCAAAATATTTGATTATAGCGACGACGTTTTGAAAAGCGGACTGGTAATTATTTAATTTTGTAGATTGAATCTAAAATATTGAATACTAAACTATTTATATCTTTCATTTTTGTAAAAGTCGATTGATTACGTTCGCTTGCGTCATCACGATGAAACTGAAAATGATATGAGCAATTTTCTTAAGACATATTAAATCTATTTTAGCTGTAAATGAAAATTTTTTAAAAAATTCTGTATTAATTTAACCAAGGAAATGGGACATAGCAAAGGTTTCGTGACTGAAATAAATATTTGTCATTATAAAAAAATATATAAAAAAATCATATCCATAACCAGACTCGACCTGATCAAAAGTCTGGTTCGAAAATTCGAACCCAATTAAAAGTCTGGTTCAAATTCAGTTCAAATTTCGAACCAGACTCGAACCAGACAAAAAGTTCGGTTCGAGTTCAAGTAAATGTTTGTTGATGTTCTAAGTAAAGTTGTAGATCGTAACATGAGCTAC